TGTCAGATCATTAAACAGGATTCTGCAGTAGGTGGCTGGGCCTTGTGTGGCTGAAGATAGAGCAAGGGGTAGGGAAGTGGTTTGGACTGGAGGGCTAGTCATTCTAAATGAGACCTCATTTGGTGGCATCTAACAAGTTGACAAACAGGCTCTGGGGGGTGGCCATGAAGAGTGAGAATGAACCCAAATGATCCTGGAAGCATCTTTTTGGAGGGTGATGCTTAACAGGCAAATCACCTTGATTTGTGTCAGTTGGAGGAGGGAGAAGGACCATTGCCCTCTCCCTAATCCCAGGCATGACATCCCAAGCTTTAGAAAAAGGGATGGAGCCAATTGTGAGTTTCCAACCTAGGAGAGTTGTCTGAGTTGTAGTAGGCATTCTGCTGAGCAATTCAGTCCAGTTCCCTCCTGGGGTGGGCTTTGGGTCTGAGTTGATGCTTTGGGCTCTTTCAGACACAGAGCCCATAGGGGGAACTTCAGAGGGACTACAGGAAACCATAGATTAGGGACGCCCCAACCCTCAACAGAACACAAGAAACTACAGACCAGCAATGGTGAAATGGTTACATGGGTGAAGTCTTAAAGAGATGGTTTCCAGGCTTTGAAATGGGCTGAGATGAGCTTCCACAGGAAGGATCATTTTTTTAAAACTTTGGAGCAACAAGTACAACTGGAATGGCCAATGTTGGTCCAGGCCACGGGGGGGGGGGAGTCCTGACTCTCCATGCAGATGATCTGCCCCAAGAACCACTTACTCTTTCCATCAATACCTGGCATCAAATGAAGGTCCTACCCTCAGTGGGCATATGAATTCATGGATTTGGGGTACAGATAGAAATTTCCATGTGGTTTTTTTTTTTGGAATCTTTATGACTGGCCAATTTGGGGCACAGGCTGATGGAGTTTGGAAGAAAAACATCACAGAATAAAATGGGGCCGCCTGTAACATACACAAGTTATGAGCAATGTATAAGAACCAACGAGTAAATGTCAACAAAATGTAGAGAGGGAGAGAAAAAGAGAGAGACACGGTTAGTGGAAGAGAGAGAGAAAAAAATGTGAACAACATAAAAACATTTATTCCTAGTCCTAAAAAGCTGATCAAATTTAGCTATTCTAGGCTTCCTGTGCTCTTCCCCCCAGGCTTTCAGTCTTCCCCAGCTAGAATCTGATGCCCTCCACTCTGCCAACCAGCAGCTGGTCCCACATGGAAGGACTCCTATTGGAGTTCTTCTCCCCAGGTGCCTGCTGATTCATCATAGGGTCTCTTGGCTTCTCCACTGGCCACAGGTACCAAACCCTCATTGATTGCATCTCAAGAACCCATGAGTCCAGGAGTGGGGAGCCGACCTACCTCAGAGCCCATACTCACCGCTTGGCTGACCAGGGTGCCTTCAGAAAATGGTGTCCCCCAAAAAAAGACTTTTGCAGAATATCAGGGTGAGCCTGTGGCCCATGGATCCCACTCAGCTGGCCATGCCCACCTGCCCCATGGCAAAGCCCAGCTTCCACCAAAGACTTGTGTCAGGGCAGATGGGCAGACTCCTTTGGGCTTGGGTAGTTCTCTTGGAACTCCCTTCTTTGAGCTCATCCTTAGAGGGACCACAGGTGCTGCCCTTTTCTGCAGCTCTGAAGAGGGAAAGGCTGAGAGCCAAGGGCTGTGAGGAGCTCCCCAGGCTGGAGTCTGCTCCCAGTCAGCCTTGATTTCCCTATCATCCCCAATGGACACACTCTACAGAGACTCTATCTCAGGCACATCACCAGAGAGAACTGAAGCAACACGCACAGGAGCCAGAGCGGACATGACCCATGAAGACTGACAGATGGGAAGAACAAAAGGAGGAACAGATTTGGGCCCATGCCCAGGGTGACATGGGTTTGGGGATGCTGGCTTACTCTGCCTATAGCCCAAGCCCAGCCGGTCCTTCTTGCCTCAAGGGAGCATGGGCTGGAATTGCAGGTCAGGTCAGGGTGAGTTGTTTTGGGTGGGGGGTGTGATGGGTGTGGGGTTGAGGAGGTATGGATGGGTTTGATTATTGAGGGAAGAGGTTAAAAAGGAATTCACTTTTTGTAGGGGAGCAGGACTCCCTGGGGATGGCAGTCACCAAACTGTCTGGGTACCCATCTTCACCTAGCCTGGCTGGGGTGCCCTGGGGCTGAGCTTCACCAAGGAAGAGGGAGAGGCTCTGATTTCCTGCCCCCTCATCCTTGCACTGGGGACTACTGACAGATGTGCCAGTCACTGTGGGAGATCTGGCCAGAGGTGAGCCTAGAACCCAATCTCTCATACACTTTCCACTGCACCAAACTACCTGGTTTGGCCTACCAAGGCACTGCAGTCCTTGCTAAGGTGGGACTCAAAGGAGGGACCTCCCCTCCCTGCTTACCTGTCCATGCTGCTGCCTTTGCCTGATTCTACGCTCCCCACTCCATCCTTTTCTCAGTGCCTCAGTTGCTCCCCTCACTGTAGCCCCTTCTACAGCAGCAAGCAGGAGGAATAAAGCAGATGGGAAGCCACGTAGAGACATGTGCTCAGCTATGCCTGCTGCAAATGAAGGTGTGGTGAGGGAAAGGAGTGTTCCCACCATGACCAGACCATTGGCTTATAGAACCATAGATTCAGAGCAGGAAAGGTCTTTAAAAATCCCCCAGTCCAACCTTCTCATTTTATAGGAGAGGAAACAGAGGAGGCACAAAGAGGAGTGATTTGCCTAAGGATACACAGCTATTTGCCATTTTGTGAATTCTCTATGGACAACTTTTCCATACGAAATTGACTTCCTCTCTACTTCCTGGTTCAGTCCTATGCAAGCTCCCCCATAATTGTTGGAATGTCAATCTACTGAAGCATCTTACTGGCCAGGGAGCCTGGGGTCTTAGGAGTTTCCCCTTCCCAGTAGAGAATTGTCCAGCTTGGGGACTATGGAAAGGAAAAGGAAAGTCTAGTAGCAAAAAGCTACATTCTGCCATATGGAGTAGGAAGCCCACCATGAAAGCAACATGTATGTGATCATCTGTGAATTGATGTGAATATCTAACAAGAATAATACTTTTATTGGTTAGAAGGGTTCCTCAGGAGCACTAAACTAATGAATACTTCCAAAAAGAGAGGTGGTAAGGATGCCAATCCCTTGTTCCCAGCATTGACTCAGCCTTGACACGGAACTCTGGGGTCTGGATGGTCCAGGAACTAGGGTGGTGGGTAGAGCAAGGAGAACAGGTCAAGAACTGATGATACCACTTAGGGCATAACTTTTGTCCACCACCCACCTCATCCTGGGACTGAGAGCACTTCCTTGGCATCCTAGACCCAATCTACCCAGCCCTCTTAGATCCCAGGAAAGGTTTTCTCCATTACGGTCCCTATTCTAATAGGTAGTTTGGTTGGCATGAATTCTTTAGTCAGCAAAATTCACATTCCTAAGGTATATGTAGCTCTGTGTGTGTGTGTGTGTGTGTGTGTGTGTGTGTGTGTGTGTAAGGTCACAGACTTTTGGGGTGCTATGAAAATAGACTTGCATTGCCTTTAAGGAAACGATCTTTTGTGAATTTCAGAAGTGAGCAGTATGTCAAGTTTAATTTCCTCCCTGGTATTATTTTGGGTGATGGGAAAAACTTTAATGATATATGATAATTTTTCTTTTTATTCTACCAACCTTCTAATTAGGGAGAGGAAGAAGTGATATTATGTAAACTAACTAATTACTTAGGAATAAAGGTGTCACACACCAAAAACCCATCATGCAAGCAGGAGGCTCCTTGTTTAGCTGAGAGTGAGCACAATTACAATAATTGTTAGCATTTATATTGTGCCTACAAAGCTCTATTTTATATATATATATATATATATATATATATATATATATATATATATATATATATGTATTAACCATCACAAAAACTCTGTGAAGTATTCATTACAAGTATTATTAGTTCCATTGTAGAGTAGACAAATGAGGAAATGAGGTCTGGACAGATTTTAAATTTTCTATGGGCAGAAGGCACCATTCTCATGGAGACTAGGAAAGGAAGCAGTGTACTTGGCATATGCTTGCTGTCTGGAGAACCAGAAAGGGTGAGCTAGGCCCTGTAGAATTTTGGTTAAAGATTATGTCAGAAGGTTTAGTTAGCCTCCAGGCTAGGGCTGAGTAAAATTCTCTTATATATACTCTTAATGACCTAACTTGATGAAGTGTGGCAGCAGGGAGGAAAAAGGGGAAGGAATGAAGGGGATATTAGAACAGGACAGTGAATTATTGGTGGCTAGAGATGAAGAAGCGAGAAAAACAATAAAGGATTTAGAATAGCAAATCAACGAACCCTAGAGGCCAAGCAGATCCACTAACCAAGAAGGTCAAGGCCTCAAGCCAGGGTTTGAAATAATCAAAGGTTTAGAAATTAGTAGAGTAGAAATCCTTGGTGCCAATGGAAAAGGTCCTCAGATCTGTTCAGAAAATGGCCTAGGAGAAAATTTTCATGATTCCCCTCTTAGATACACCTAGATTTCTTGAAGTTGTGACCCAGGGCTCTATCCCTCTAGTCTGATCCCCCCTTGGTCCAATGAATCCCCATCCAACCACCCTTAACCTATCTTTGTCCCTGGATCTTCTTTCCCTTCAGTCTCATCTTTCCTCTCTCCTTTGAGATCCTGTCCTTCTTGTTTACCCAAGATCCTCTTTATCTTCATTCTCTTCCATCCCTGGAGATCCTGTTCCTTTTCTTTTCCCAAGAGCCCTTTTACCTCTAGCCCTTACTCTCTTCTCTTCATGGAGATGTTATACCTCTAAGTCTGATCCTCTGTTCCACCAGAGCAGGGGTTCTTAATCATGATCTATGAACTTGGTTTTTTAAAATATTTTGATAATTTTATTTCTAAATAATTAGTTTCCTTTGTAATTGTATCTCATTTCATATATTTAAAAAAACATTGTTTTAAGAAAGGGTCCTTATCCAAAAAACAAACAAACAAACAAAAAGAAAGGGTCCTTAGGCTTCACCAGACTGCCAAAGGGGCCCATGATAAAAAAGCAAAACTTAGGAACTCCTGCTCTAGAATCTCTATTCCACCAGCTCTGACTCTCTTTTGCCCATGAAGCTCCTATCTTTTCATTTTCATCTCTTCTCATCTCATACTCCATGGAATCTCTATCCTTCCAGCCTTGACTCTATTCTGCTCCTAGAGCTTCTGTCTCTTCAGGCCCATCCTGAAGCCTTCTCTGACCCCTATCCCTCTAGTGTCCTTGGAGTCACTGTTCCTCTAGCTCTGATCCTCCCCTATTCCTGAAAACCTAGCACTTCCAGCCCAAACCCTCCTTCGTTCTGGGAGTTCATGTCCCTTCCAAACTTGAGCCTTCACTACCCATGAAGATTATAATAATTGACTTTTATGAAACTCTGGGAGAAAAGTAGGGGTTGGCTCAGGATATTCTGCTTTGTGGGTGATAGGAAAAACGTCCTGATCTTTCTGTCCCGTTCCCCCTTTTGACAGACAACAGACAAGCTAGCTAAGAGATTATATAGGAAAAGGGTCAGGGTGCTAAAAGTCAACCACTAATGAAGTTTCCTGATAAGCCTTCTGAGAGTGAGCCTGAAGTTATGGGTTGGATGAACAAACTCAGGTCAAGTATCCAGAAGACTTGATTGGGGGAAAAGGGGAGACAAGGAAGCTGGATATTATGACAAGTACTCCTAGCCTAGGGAAGACAATGGAGGCTGAGCTAAGGAACTTTTGGTTGGGGGTCAGCTTAGAAAGTTTAGATACCTGTCTTTGACTGGGTTGTGTATAGATATTTGTGGCTATATGGATACAGAAATACTTCTAATTATTTAATTAATACCCTAAGTATATCATTTCTGAAACTGTAAATTCTCTTTTCTCTTATGAATTGGAACAGGGATACAGACTGGACTTGTGATGTCATTGAGATAGAAGAGAAAACTCCCTCTATGGATGCAGGTTGGTTCCTCACTTCAATTTCTAGTCTTACAAGAGTTCGCTAGAGCAATGAGAGGTTGGATGCCCTGTCCAGGGTCCTATCGCCAGTATGTGTCACCAGCTAAACCCGATCTCAGGATATTCTGATTCTGAGGTTGGTTCTGTATTTATCTCTACTACGTTGCCTCTATTCTGGTAAGATCCAGAAATTCCTTTTATGCCCTGGAGCTGGTAGTGGCAGAAGGAAGAGGAGAAATTTTGAGTGGATGCCAAAACTGGACAGCCTATTTTGGCAGCAGGAGTAAAAGGTAATTAAGGAATAGGTACAGCAGGAAGTCAAGTGGACTCAAGGGCCAAAAAGGGTCCAAAGGGTCTGGTGGTCTTAAACTGGGATTTAGGGATCAAGGAATTATGGGAAAGACAGAAAAGTGAAAACCAAAGTCAAGGTTAGGTCCATTGGGTTGGCATTAAGGAACTAGAATCCTAAAAGGCAGTGTGGTTCCTTTTGCAATGGAGAAACATTTGAAGGAAGGAAGCAGATTAATGTACACTAAATGCGGTCATTGTATTTTATAGTTAGCTAATATCATTCAAAGCCCTTTCTGATTCCAGTCTGTTCATGAGGAAATGTGATCTCTGGTCTCCTTGTCCTTTGCAAATACATCAGTTAATAAAAACTTTCATTGGGATAATAACAGGTGTGTCTGACAAAAGACAATATGATCTTACCTTCAAATAAAAATAGAAATTGGTCATTTGTCCTACTTCAACAGGTAATGGTGTTGCTATGCTACTTTTGGCTAATTTAAGCAATGATCACTTAGATAGATTTCTACCTGACATAAAGAGAAAACTCCTAACAATGAGAGTTGTCCCAAAATAAGAATGGGTTGCCTCAGGAAGTAGTGAGTTCCCCATCTCTGGATGTCTTCAAGCAGAGGTTCTATGGTCACTTGGAAGAAATTCTTACTCAGAAACAGTTTGGATTAAATGATTTCTGAAGTCCCTTCCAGCTCTGAGATTTCTATGGTTCTGTGATTCCCCAGCAAGCTGATATAGTTTAGTCCAAGGTCCAAAACTGTGTCCTTCTTAGATGCTTTGTCCTTCTAGCCATTCCCCCCATCTTCTTCTGAAGCCCCCATCCCTCTGCTGTTCCTCCAGCCCTGCTCCTAGGATTTCTGGCCCTGCAAGAAGGAAGGTGAAGTGTCAGATGGACCCTGGGGTCTCACCGAGCAGAGCAACTCTTTCTCTATCCAGTATTCCTCACAATCCTGCTCCGGTATCTCTCCCTTGTCTCTTTGGGATGAAGCTTCAACAAGAAAACACATCTAGGAGTCAAGGGCAGTGATACTAGCCAAGAGAAAGGGCTTCATCTAACAAACCCAGCTAGAAGGGATGTGGGGGTCTACTATAGCAGAGGGGCACCCCAGCTGAAGTGGGTGCTGTACTACTCTTCTAGCAGTGGACCAATGTCCTCTCTCCTGCTTTCCCTGGGCCATAGGCTGATATGGGGAAAGCATAAAGCTGAATCCTTTATTTTCTTCTCCTGGCCCACCTTATGTATAACAGTAAAATGGAGTGAGTATGCCAGCAAGGAGTGAAGAGGGAGAGGGAGTGTCAGCACCCGGGGCTGGGGTTGCAGCTGAGGTGGAAGCATTCGCAGAAATCATGAGAACAGCCTCCATAGTAAGGTGGGGGTGGTAGAAAATGAATCCAGAGCTCAGAAATCCCCACCACTCTCAGGCAGCTGATTAGTCTGCCTGCCTGCCCCACCCCAGTTGAGCAAAGAGTGGGGAGGGGTGGTCCAGGATGGGACTTTGACTTGTTAGGCTAAACTCTGCATGTTCAATGGTTTGGCTTTAACCAAATCCACCTGCCCAGTGATTCACTGCCTGCTATCAGCTGTCATTGTCCTTTTCACTAATGCCATTGACTTTGAAAACCACTGTTGTCTACAAAATACATCAATGCTAGTCCATGGGTAGAGGTAGATTATGGGGTTTGAATCTTCAATTCAGATCAGAGCCCCATAATTTTATGTGCTATTTGTGGATTCTCATAAAACTGAGAGAGTCCCATGATGACCACTAGCCATGGAATACTAGAATATATCCCTCTGTGACTAGTATTGTTCCCCCAATGCGGAATTCACATGAAACAGATTGTTCACTGGCTGGGTTGCTCATATTGCTGTGGTCAATCCCAGCTGGGAGGAAACCCCTTCGCTGCCCCGACCCCCACCTCTGCCCACCCCACCCCCCCACAAGGCTGTCACCCACAGCAGTTATGTCTAAGCCTGGCTGCTCATGCTATTACTCATTCTATTTCTTGGCCCAGCAGCCCTTTGCATCAGGAGGCTGCTGGAAAACTCTGGATGGACCACTCAACCCAAACCCTGGAGAGAAGCAGACATGGAGAAAGCTACTGTTGTGCCTGAAAGCTCATAGCTACAAATGCTGAACATACCCTAGTGTGGTGGTACAGGATGGGGCATCTGCATGCTATGGAGTATGCATGTTACAGCCAGGGGAAGCCCTCTGAGGAAGGATGGGGGCTTTGGGGCTTTAGTTCTACTCAGCAGGCAGCAGGCAGGTGGTGGGACCATGCCCCCAAGCATTCTGGGCCCTGGCCTGCCCTACCCTGCCCTCCCTAAGAGTTGCATCGTGCATGATTTCTGTCCTCTAAGCCTCTATGGGGAAAGAAGGGGGTGGTGACCCTAGGTGGAAAAGAGTCAAAGAAAACCCAAACCACAAGTCCTCTTACTTTTATGAAAAGCCACCCTACCCTTTTCCCACCCCCTCCATCAGATGGGCCAGTGACCTAGATCAGAGACCCACCCTCAGGCCATGGCTCTCAAGGGCAGCCCCTATTAAGGGTCTGCCCACTAAGATAGTCCAGCACCAGGGCTGTGGGTGCCTGCGACTCTTCCTCGAGGCAACACTTTTTTTCTCTTCAGAACAACATGAACCTTTGTCAAGTGTCAGGCGCCTTCCTTGGGGACCATCGGTAAGGCCCTTCCCACTGACTCTCTCTCCTTCTCCAGTTGGATGCTCAGCCTTTCCTGGCCCCCCCACCCAGGCTCCACAGGCCAGGATTCTGTGTGGGACCATGGGATACTAACAGATCCCTGGGCTACCCATGGTGCTAGGAAAGCAGTCTGACTGGATCTCAGATCTCTACAAGGGATGGAGGTGAAAGGTCAGATTGACATTCCTCTGAGAGGCTTCCTACCTGCTCTGTTAATTTCTAAAATCTCTTCCTGGGCCAGCGGGCATGTGTCACTCTGAGTACTGTGATGTGGAGAGTTTACGACAGATTTACAATAATTGGGGGATCCCAGCTGCGGTGGTCTCGGAATGTGTTTCTTTTTTTTCTTTGGTAGCTTCTGCTTAGCCATAGCTAAGGAATAGTACATTCCGAAATTGTTCACGATGACGGGCACGGGCATAGCAATGGTCAGCACCCCTGCGAGCGCACACAGCGCCCCCACTAGCATGCCTGACCATGTCTGTGGGTACATGTCTCCGTAGCCCAGTGTCGTCATGGTGACCACCGCCCACCAGAAGCCGATGGGGATATTCTTAAAGTGCGTGTGCTCACTGGCGCTGGGGTCATTGGGTTGAGCACCTATCCTCTCAGCATAGTAGATCATTGTGGCGAAGATTAAGACACCCAAGGCCAGGAAAATGATGAGCAGCAAGAATTCATTGGTGCTGGCACGGAGGGTGTGCCCCAGGACCCGCAAGCCTACAAAATGGCGGGTCAACTTGAAAATTCTCAGGATACGCACGAACCGGACCACTCTCAAAAAACCCAAGACATCCTTGGCAGCTTTGGAAGACAGGCCACTGAGTCCAACCTCCAAGTAGAAAGGCAGGATGGCCACAAAGTCGATGATGTTCAATGAATTCTTAATAAACTCCACCTTGTTGGGGCAGAAGACAATCCGCATGAGGAACTCAAAGGTGAACCAGACCACGCAGACCCCCTCGATGTAGGTCAGGAAGGCCTCGGTCTCTGCCTCCCGGTAGTAGCGCACCTGGGTGCCATTCCTAATGACTTCAATTTCTGTTTTGTTCACGATGGGGTTAAACCGCTCATGGGTCTCCAGGCAGAAGGTGGTGATGGAGACCAAGATGAAGAAGAGGGAGGCAAAAGCCACATACTGCAGAGAGGAACAGAGAAGACAAGTTAGTGTAGAGGGACAGAGTAAGTGAAGCAGAGGGGCACCCAGAGCACTCAGGGAAGAACATTTGGGAAACCCAGGAAGGGGTGGCTTCTTCCTGAGAGGTGAAGTGACTTACCCAATATCACACAGATTAAGCAGCGAACCCAAGACTATGATACTCCATTGCCTATAGCACTTCAAGGTTTACAAAGCTCTCTCCTTACAACTCTGAAAGGTAATTAGTATAAGCATTGTTAGTTCTACTTTACACATGTGGAAACTGAGACTGAGAGGGTAGATGACACACAGTTACCAATTGCCGAGTCAGGACTTGAACCCAGGTCTCCTGATAATTATACACCTGGCATCCTTTCTACTCTATCCACCTGCCTCTCTAAGAAGCCACACCTTCTGACTCCATCGATCTTCCCACTTTGCAGCATCATCCACCTGAGTACCATCTGCATCAAAAATGCCTCCTTCAGTTACATGGGTTTGGAGGAAATTCTAGTATGGTTGGGCCAGAGCAATCCTAGGCATTTGAAGGACTTACAGGCTGAAAGAGAATATTCTACCTAACCAACAAATTTGTAGATGATGTCATCAAGACCCAGGGAGGGGCAATGATCTCTCAAAAGTAATGGGGGCAGAGATGGGTTTGAACCCAGGTCACCCATAGGACCATAGATTTGAGAGAGGCCAAAGAGGTCATCCAGTCCAGCCCCTTCAGTTTTACAGATGAGGAAACTGAGGCCCAGAGAAATTAAGAGTAATTTGACCAAGGTAACAATATTTTTAAGTAACAAAAGCAAAATTTGAATGCTGGTCCTCCAGCTTCAGATGCTGGGGTCCTTCCTTTAAATTCACACAGCCCTCACCTAAGGCTATAAGGTGGCAAGGGTCCTCAGATTGTCAGAGTCTACTTAGGACTTGGGGGGTAGTAATGGATATAGGTCATATCAGGGCCAGATCTTTGGCATTTGGCTTCCTATTCTCCCAATCTTGACCAAAGGGCAGGCTTCCAGGGCAAAACTAGGTTACTGGAGGTTCACTTCTGATCCTCTCCTCCCAGCTCCCTGGGGGTTAATTAACACATCTTCAAAGTTGTGTTAGAGAGGAGAGGGAGGAAGGTGGGTCACCCCATCCGAATTCTGACTCCCCTGGGAGGCCAGTAATCCCTCTGAAAGAAGCTGGTGCAGGGAGCTCTAGGGCTTTCTCTGTAAAGATAAGTCATCATGGGCAGGGTATGATTATTTTTCAGCCATTAGCCTAGCTGCACCTGGCAGGAGGGGCCAGGAGGCCTCGGATTTAAGGCACTTCTAAAGGAAGGGACTATGAGGAAGCCTTGGATTATTTATGTGCCAATAACTCAGGTACGGCTTCCTCCAGCCCTGAGCCCCAGACAAATCCCCATCTCCCAGCATCTCTAGCTAGCTGGTCTCTTTGTCTCCTGCTTTTCCCATTGTCTTTCTGTGCCTCTGTCTTCTCCCTCCTCTCTGTGCCTCTTTTCTAAGCAGGTAGTGGACAAAGGGGAGGGCCATCATCACAGGCTCTCCTGATTCCCAGATTCCCTGATCTCCCACTTTCATTGTTATCCAAGCCCTGGGGCAGGGAGAGGATAAAGAAAGGGGGAATAGGAAGGGGAATTCAATCAATTTAAACCCAATAAATAATCATTGAAAGTCTACTATTGCAAGACCCTATACTTGGCACAGACATAGCTTCAGCCCTCAAGAATTCTAGGAGGGAAAAAGATAAAACCAATTCAAATGTGAGACAGAGGCAATAAAAGTCATGTAGAGTTCAAGAGAGGGGACTCACTTTCAGCCCAAAGGCTCAAAGACAGCTTCCTGGAGGAGGTAGTTTAAGCCAGGCGTTTAAGGATAAGTAGGATCTTAACAGGTATTAAAGGGTTGGGATATCTATTGGTACCCACCTAATGTCAAGAGAGCTATGGCAAGGGCTTTCCACCTTTTTTGTGTCATGGACCCCTTTTGGCAATCAGGCCATGTCTATGGATCCCTTCTTATAATCATGTTTTTTAAATGCATATTAAATGCATAGGAGTAAATAGGAAACTAATTATATTGAAAAACAATTATCAAAGTATTTTCTTTTCAAACTATATGGACCCATGGTTAAGAAGCTTTGATTTAGAAGAAGGCCTTCAGCACCATCGGAGGACTCACTCTTCAGTTGTTTTTCAGTTGTCTGACTCTTTGTGACCTCATTTGGGGTTTTCTTGGCAGAGCTACTGGAGTGGTTTGTCATTTCCTTCTCCAGCTCGTTCTACAGATGAGGAAACTGAGGCAAACAGGGTTAAGTGACTTGGCCAGGGTTACACAGCTAGTAAGTATCTGAGGCCAGATTTGAACTCAGGAAGATGAGTCTTCCTGACTCCAGGCCCAGTGCTCTATGCACTATGGCGCCACCTAGCTGGAGGACATTACAGAAGAGCCATCCAGGATGAACACGTGATTGAGGGATTGCACACCCTTGGACGGATCACCATCATGGACAAGCTCTCAGATTCACCAGAGGATCAGCTGGGGTGCATCTCAAACACAAGGATTGGTGTGAAAGAAGCCATGTGGTACAGGACTCAAGAAGAACTGGGTTTGAATTCATACACGGGCTGTGTGTCCCCAGGCAAATCACTTAATCTCTTTGAGACTCAGTTTGCTCATCTGTAAAATGAGGGGTTTGGACTAGATGGTCTCTTTCACCTCTAGAGCTAGGAGACTATGAGCAAAGACATGGTTGGATTCAGAAAAAAAGTACTTGTGTGTGTTGGGGGTCACTCCTCTGATATATGGCTGATTGGTTCATGGGGACTCCTGCATCTTGACTGAGAACTGGGTTGGTTTGGTAAAAGAGCAACCTGCTGGTTTCAAGTGTGTTCAGGGGATGATGAGTCATCTAGTGTGACTGGAGCAGAGCCTAGTGAGAGGAGGCTTGAAAGGCAAGTTGGGGGACAGCTGTGGAAGACCCTGATTGCTAAGGGGAGGAGTTAGAACTTTTGTCCTGCGTGTACTGAGGAGTCATTGAAAGTGTTTGCGCCAGATTGGGTTATGTCTGAGCTGAATGGTGAGGCAAAAACCAAAAGGGTCTTCTATGAAGCAGGCAGACATCTAGGGAGGCTGTGGAAGAAAGTGAGGAAGCCTTCCTTCTCAGATTAAGGAGGACTGAGGAAAATGGCTCTGCAGCATTGCTTTTTCACTGCCCGTCTCCTTGCCTAGGATGCACGACGTTCTCTCTACCTTTTAGAATGTGTAGTTACTTGCGTCAGGATGCAGCTTAAGCCCCGCTTTCTCTATTAAGCCTTTCCTGACTGCCACTCTCCCCCTCCCCCACTCCCTACACTGCTGTTGCCCATCTTCCCCAAACTACCTTGACTTTAGTTTTGTATTTACTCAGTTAATATTTATTTATGTGTATGTTACTTCCATAGAATGTAAATTCCTTGAGTACAGAATGTGTTTCCTTTTTGTCTTTGTATCTCCAGGGTCTAACCTGGCACCTGGCACATAGGAGGCACTTAATAAATTCTAGCACCATCCAGGGCACTTTGGCACAGCAGTGGAGCTGGTGGTCCCAAACATTTGAGGAGAAGTCTACTCTCACTCTGGTTAAGGCCTTCAGGGCTGGCCCATGGGCCCAGTAAGGATGCTTAGGTTCCTATGAACATCCTAGTCTGAGATGACTTTCATGGGGGAGACTGGGATGTTCGTAGGAACCTAAGCATCCTTACTAAGAACTGAGTGAATCTTTTCGCCTAGTAACTTGTTTCACACCAGCCAACTTACTCAGCTCTGGTTCCAGGAATAGTTCAGACTTACACAGTCTGCCGAGGGGAAAAGAAGTTTTTTTAACTGGAACCACCCAAGTTAACAATCCATCATCCCTTCTCAGTTGCAGCCCCATTGGTCACATCTCAGAGGCAGAGTTCATCAAAGCACCAAGGGACCCAACTAGACCAAAAACAGAACCCCACATGCATGACTTTGCCTGATTACTCCCACAGTAGAGAACATACCTGAGAGTCTTCAGACCAGAGAACACATCTGAGAATTCATTGCACCATTTACAATGACCAAGATTGGCCCCAGAAAGCAAATGAGAACACTTCTCTCTCCCTTCACTGAAAAGGTTGCAGGGAAAGGGAGGGGTTATGGAATGTTGTACATACTGTCAGACATGGTAAAAATGTTGGTAGATTTTGCTGAACTACTTCCCTGCCCTTTTGTTTTTGTAATCTTTGGGCATGAGAGGGGGAGGTGTATATACAGGAACAAATGTGATGAAAAAACAACATTTATCAATAAAAATAAGACAATAGTTTAAAAGAGAGACAATGGTCCACGCCAGAGAACACCCTTAAAGCCCCCTAAACCAGAGACCATGGATGAGAACCCCATTGCCAGTGGACACACTGCCTCCTCAGATGAGTTAGTTTTCTATTTGAGGAACATGCCTAAATTAGGAAACTGTTTCTTCCCAAATAAGTGTGGGTTTTTTTCTAAAATGAGTTAAAACAACTCACTCACATGTCCAAGCATCCTCTCATGTGTGTGTTTAGTAAGGCATGCTCTGCTGTAGATGTGGCTATAGCAAAATTTGCTGCAGCAAGGACTCATTCATCTGGGAACTCTTCCCCCAGGCTTCTATAGATTCCAGGGCAGTCCAAAGGTCAAGTCATCTGCTGAAGCCTAGGGATAATAATAGCTAACCTTTATATAGCACTTTAAGATTTGCAAAGTGTCGTGAATACATTACCTCATTTGATCCTCACAATGACCCTGTGAGGTAGATATTATTATTATTATTATTTTACAGATAAGGAAACTGAGGTTTGTCCAGGGTTACCCAGCTAGTAAGTATCTGAGGTGAGATTTGAACTCAAGTCATCCTGACTCCAAGTCCAGCTTTCTTACCCACTGTACCATTTTTCACTCCTTAATTCAGTTCTGTTTAATTCAATTCATTCTAATTCAGCAAATGTTAATCAAATGCCTACTCTGTGAAAATTTTGCTACTGTGAAATATGTCATGTTCCCAGATAAGTTGCAGATTGGGAAATTCACAACAGCCTTTAAATTGGTGAAACCACCATGTGTTAATCACCTGAAAGGAGCACTGCCGTTGAGGGTGAGACCAGGGCATCAGCAGTA